GTAAGGCACTATATGAGACGACTAGATAATATTCTTCATCATGCTTTCCCTTGAATTTATGTTGGTTTGAGTATTTCACGACGTCATGTTCCTGAAAAATCAAATTTGACAAAATAAATATAGGAAACAAGGGTTACTTAGCTCAAACAATCAAAATAACCAACAATAAATTCAAGGGTCTGAGGGCAGAAGTGATATGGGTGATGAGTCCTAAAAATTGAAACGTGCCTAAATCTAATGCAACCTAGTAAACAAAGCAAAATTATATTCTATACGATACAAAAAGCAAGATAAAATGTTTGAAAATTGGGTTGCCTCCCAATAAGCGCTTCTTTAAAGTCATTAGCTGAACTTTGTGCCGCGGTTATTCTGGTACAACTAGGTCAAGACTCTCTTTAGTGGTGGAAAAATCTTCCACATAGTGCTTGATACGTTGGACATTTACTTTGAAATCTCATTTTGTTGGATGGTGTAATTCAACTGTGTCGTAGAGAAATACCTGAGAGACTGTAAAAGGGCCGAACCATCTAGATTTCAAATTTTCTAGAAATAGTTTAAGTCTGGAATTGTATAAAATCACTTGATCTCCCACTCTAAAAATTCTTTGCATGATGTTCTTGTCATGCCACTGCTTCGTCCTTTTTTTGTAGATGGCTGCATTCTCATATGTTTTTCTTCTGAATTCTTCCAATTCATATAGCAGCAGTATTCTTGTTTCTCCAGCCTTTTCGAGGTCCATGTTTAACTGCTTCAATGCCCAATATGCTCTATGTTCAAACTCCACTGGTAGGTGGCATGCTTTTTCAAAGACCAATCGATATAGGGACATCCCAATAGGTCTCTTGTAAGTAGTGCGACATGCTCATAAAGCATCATCTAATTTCTTTGACCAATCCTTGCGAGATGCATTCACAGTGAGCTCCAGAATTCTTTTCAATTGTCTGTTCGAGGTTTCCACCTGTCTACTTGTCTAAGGGTGGTAAGGAGTGGCAATTCAATGTTGTACCCCGTACTTATACAACACTGCCTGGAATAACGGATTGTGGAAGTAAGTTCCACCATCACTTATTATGGCCCTAGGTGATCCATAGCGGTTAAAGATGCATTTCTTTATGAAGTCCACCACCACTTTTGCGTCATTTGTAGGCAATGCTTTAGCTTCTATCCATTTAGAGACATAATCCACTACCATAGGATGTACCGATTGTTGTAAGATGATGGAAAGGGACCCATAAAATTAACCCCCCAGACATCAAATATTTTCACCTCCAAAACCTTGTTAAGTGGCATCTTGTGACACGCTAATATATTACCTGTTCTCTGACACTTATCACATGACCTACAGAAATTGTGGCAGTCCTTGAACAGTGTAGGCCAAAGTATCCTCCATAAGCACATTTGCTGCTGTTTTAGTGGGCCAAAGTGCCCTCCATAAACCGAGGCATGAACTCGTGAAAAGATAGATTTCATCTCATCCTCTAGCACACATCTCCTAATGATCTGGTCTGCCACTCTCCTGTATAAATTTGAATCATCCCAATAATAGAATTTCGCTTCATGAAGTAGCTTCTTCTTCTACTGATAGGTGAGATCAGGATCCATATAGCCACTACCTAAGTAATTAACAATGACTGCATACCACAGAGTCTTTTCTATTTGTAATAACTGTTCATCTGGGAAAACCTCATTAATCTTCACATCATCTGGATCACGCGGTTGCTCCACCCTTGATAAATGATCCGCTACCTGATTTTCTATACCTTTTTTATCGCAAATTTCAATTCAAACTCTTGCAGTAACAGAACCCATCGAATTAGCCTAGGTTTAACATCCTTCTTCTCAAACAGATATTTCAATGCTGCATAGTCAGTGTAGACTATCACCTTTGAACTAATCAGATAGGAACGAAATTTGTCGAAGGCAAAGACCATCGCTAGCATTTCTTTTTCTATTGTTGTATAGTTGATCTGAGCATTTGTCAAGGTTTTGCTGGTATAGTAGATTACATGTAACACTTTTCCTTCACATTGGCCAAGCACCGTTCCCATTGCAAACTCACTAGCATCACATATAAATTCGAAATGTAGATCCCAATCAGGTGCTACTATTACAGGTGCAGAAGTTAACTTTTCTTTCAAAGTATTAAAGACATTTAAGCATTCATCAGAAAAGAAATGGCACATCCTTTTCCAATAGATTACACAGAAGTTTTGTAATTTTTGAGAAATTCTTAATGAACCTTCTATAAAACCCTGCATGTCCTAAGAAGCTTCTAATCCCCTTAACTAAATTAAGAGGCTGCAAATTTTCAATCACTTTTATCTTGGCTTTGTCAACTTCAATGCCCTTTGTGAAAATCTTGTGGCCCAACACTATCCTCTCTTTTACCATGAAATGACATTTTTCCCAATTTAACACTAGGTTCTTCTCTTCGCATCTTTCCAGTA